CGCCGCTGAAAGGAGAGGAACCTGCACATGGAGCTGAACGACACCAACATCCCGGGGAAGGGCAGGAGCAAACAAGCACTCATTGAGGTGCTCAAGGTCGCCCCCCCAGGAAAACCTGAAACACCGTTGAAGACTCCCGCCACTCAAGGGCGCGGGAACGGCAGAAGAAGTGCCAAGCCTCCAAGGTGAAGACAGTACAGTCCGCCAGCCAGGACGACTCCAAAACCTCGTAACTGAGCCAGAAACGGAAAGAAGTCCTAAACTTGAAAGCCGAGGGATTCATTGCTAGAGGCATAATCCGGGTCATGCAAGAGGTTTGTCGCAAGGGCCGCCCACACCGCAGCAGGTTGGATGCGATAAGCCGAAAACCTCCGGAAAGACGGAACCGAAGCACCCGAGGAAACATGGAACTGAACCAGGGAAGGGGCAGACACCAAATCCAACTCGTACGCAGAACGAAGAAAAGAAACTCCCACTCCTTGTAACAGTAAGCCCCGCTCAGAGGGTAGAAAAACCAAGGCGGGGTCCAGCAGAGTCCAAGGCCCCCAAGTCAGCCCCTCCCCAGCCCCAAAGTCTTCCTCAGCAGGACCCGGGGCCAAGTCCTCTCCCCAAGCACCGACCCCACTAGACAAGGCTGGCGCAGTCGTAGAAGCTGGATAGAATGAGGCCCACTGGTCAGATCCAGAGGCTTCGGCTGGGGAACGAGACTTGAATGCCTCCGTCGCCACACCAGAAGGGGCATCCCCCGAGGCTGCCCGAGTCTCAAGATCAACTAACCCCTGCCCCGATTCCAAAACCCTCAGATCAACTTAGTGCGTTGCAACAACCGAAACCTAGAATGCAAAGCCTGTGCAGCCTGTACCCGAAGATCATCATCCATAGATTGAGTAAATTGAGTCACTAGCAAGCAACAATACTCACAGGACTCAGGGTTGAAAGTGTCACGACCCAACAGACTGCATGACGGAGGCAAAAACAGTGAGGGTCGCCCTGAGACGAGAGGACCTAACAACCCTCAAACTCACACGAGGCGAGGGGGAGACCCCGGGATCACATCCATCGGATCCACGCATCCCCTAGGGGATTCCCAGGGTCCTGAGCATTTGCTAGAAGAGGACTCGTGCTCAGGTAAACCTAGGCAGGGTACTGCTAACTGGCGCCCAAAACTACCAAACAAACTGTCTAAAGCTGAACTGCAGGGACGTGTACACTCATGGGGACCAAGCAAGGGGCACCACCAAGTATCAGGATGAGGCCAAACACCAGTGGCAAATAGGGCAGAACCCCCACCAAGGCAAAAAGAAAAAGAAAAACAAAACCCCGCAAGAGGACAACGTACCCCAAGGAACAGAGCTGGCTGCTGTGATAGGCGACAACTAGCTGCACAGCACCCTGCGCCCCTACCAGTGTGAAAACTGCCTCTTACCCTAAGGTTAACTAGGGGGAGACAAAACCCCCAAGTACCCAAAGAGCGGCCGAGAAACTGAGCAGTAAAACGGACGCACAGAGGCAGACCCCGAGGAACTTGTGGAAGGTAACCACAAGCTCCAAGGGCAGTACTTAAAAGGCACCTAGGGAAGGGAACCCTAGGTGCATGCAGCCCGAGTACTGAGGAATAACTCCTGGCTCATGGAGTACAGCAGCCACACACAAGGCATAGCACCTCAAAAATACTGGAGCCAGAGCACACAACTGAGCTAATAGCATCAGCCTCAAGAACTGGGGTGTGGTTCGCTGGCACGGTAGATCTGGGGCTGCTCCTTTCCCCTCCTGGGGAGGGGGGCTGCGCAGACAGCGGCGCGACGACGGATGAGATCATACTAGTTTGCTCGTTTTTGTTTGGGGAGTTCTATCCACTCGTTCGGCTTTTGGTTGCAATTTTCACCAGAATAGGGGTTTGTTTTAGGAAGCCTAAATTTCTAGGTACCTAACCCGGTCGATAGCAGACATAGAATGCTTCCAATTACACGGGGGTCTTCTGTTGGCCATTGCTCCCCTAGCCTCTCTAGAGGGGGGGGGGCCAGGTTCTGGCTCGTGGTCCCCGGAAGGCCCATAAGAACTCCATACACATGACTGATGCCGAAGTCTGAAATTATCATATCAGCCTAGTAAGCTCCGGGAAGCCTCTGGGACTCGCCCAGAAAATGGCGTTTCATTACATTCAACGCTGTTTTTTTTTATCTTTGTAAAATGATAAATTCCCTTCCCTGAACACATACATGTAAAAAAAAATATGTAAAATTCCACTTACTTTGGCTGTCGGGACATGGAAATGGGGGGGAGGGGGGTTCTTGCTGTGCACCCAGCTCTCAGAGGCAGTTGCGCTGGCCAGTCAAGCACCAAGAGTTGCCACAAATATATTTTCAGTTATTTGTTCTATGTGTTTCCAATGCGATTTTGTTTGTTTTTTATCGTATACGATGCATATTTGTGTCCTTTACAATATGTATACAGTAGAACGTTCATAATGTTCCATGGAACTGTGATACATGTGTCAGTACTGTGTCCACAATAAATATATTGTCGCGATATTACTTGTTCAATATTCACTAAAATTACAATATGTACAGTTTCACACACTATTTATACAGTAACACACTGTATTACACATTTAGTATTTCGGAAATGAGTAATAATCAACGAAGTAGTCCATGGTACACAGCGCGACTTCGCTCTTGTTGCACCAGGTACAGATAGATTTTCGCTTCCTCTTTCTTCATTCTGTATGCTTGCAAATAACTCTCATACACTCTTGGCTTCAGTACATGTAGGTGGTATGTAACCAAGCTTGTGAAGCGTAAGGTAGTCTTGCTTAGATTATAGGAAAAGATCAATATGTAAGGTAGTCTTGAAAAGATCGCTTTGTAAGGTCCCCTCACTGGAAGAGATTGTCATTCTGGAAGAGATTCAGCCATTCTGGAAAAGATAAAGCTATTCATGAAAATATACACCACCATGGAACCCGCTAACATTGTTCATCCATGCTATTTGTATCAGATGCATTATCATTGAACCCAGAAAATGATTTATCTATTTATCATCTATAAAAATTGGAGATGGCAAAAGTGGCGTACAGAGCTACAACTGGATATACTTGCTGTATCGTCCTCATAGGTGTTGTATCACTTGCATCCAACCTTAGTGTTAGGTCCTTATTGCGCCTAGCTTCACCAATATCATTACCCTTATGTTCTTCAAACAATAAAGTCTGAATTTCATCGACTCGGAACGATCTTTCAACACCACGTTGGATAGGTATTTGGGAGCCAGAGTCGCGTGTGCCACCCATGGTTGCTCACTCAGTACTAACCCAGCCAGCAGCCCTAGAATATTCTGGGAATTTTTTTCCAAGATGGCTTCCTCTCACCAGAGGTCCCAAGAGTCCATTTTGTACACAACCTACCGCACACGCATTTTGAATGGGTACGAAATATTCAAAAGGTGTTTTCTCGGTTGGCGCAGCACAGTGGTTAAAGAACACAATAAAGTAGCCATCACATCTGCAAGAAAAATAACAGGTTTGATAACAAGAACCTTTCACACTGGAGATGCTATACTGATGATACTTTTCAAGATGCTAGTGATCTCTAGTGGAATACTGTTGCACAATAACAGCCCCTATCAAAGCTGGAGAAATTTCTGACCTGGAGAGCATGCAAAGAGCCTTTACTGCTAGAATCCACACAGTAAAACATCTAAACTATTGGGACCGACTAAAATGCCTAAATCTGTATTAACTTGAGCGCAGACGGGAGAGATACATAATAATTTACACATGGAAAATAGGAGGAGGGCTTGTCCCAAACCTGCACTCAGAAATAACACCACATGAGACTAAAAGGCATGACAGGATGTGCAGAATACCCCCGTTGAAGAGCAGAGGTGCAACAGAAACTCTGAGAGAGAACTCTAACCATCTCGAGTTAACACTTTCGCCCGGGCATGACGCAGCATTGCATCATCCGTTTACTGTCGGTAATACCGGGGATGACGCAGCATTGCGTCATCCACTTTAAATAATCGCCAAAAATCAGGTTTTTATCCGATTTTTTGGGGACTGGTTTTAAAATGTGCGCCGATGTCTTCCCATTTTCTTTGTTGAGCCTCGTGGCCCTCAGGTGGCTTGGCACATGCCGTGGGCCCATTGTTTTCGCTCCACTGTTGTGACCAATGTCGCCTCCCCTCGCATCTCAATTGTGTGAACATTTCGGCTATTTTCCGTGGCTATATTTCTTACTGCGGCTTTAGAAACTATCTACCCTTACTCCACGATGGATAGTGATCATGAACAAGGCCCTTCCAGGAAGAAAATTGCGAAAGAAAGGCTTGAAAAGGGAGGGAATTGGGAGTGTAGCTGGAAGGCGTCTGAGCGCTCACTCGCGGCTAACGAGTGGCCCGTCTTCAACTCGTCGGCGGTTGGAGCGTGACCAGGTTTTATATTTTATATGCTAATGTTCTTCTAGAGAATTCTATTGCGAACCCATTGAGACCAAAATGAAAGACCTAAGACAAAAATTGAGGTGACCAGAGTGAAAATAGTGAAAACATTTTATCGCGTTTCCGCGCTCCTGGGTAACTCATTCGCACTTTCTCTGTTTGCTGCGGGTAATTAGCCGGGCTTTTGGAGTTTATATGCATTTAGTGCTGTAGAGAATTCTATTGCGAACACAATGATACCAAATTTAATCTCGTAGGACGAGAATTAAGGTGACAAAGTTGAAGAGAGTATACATTTTTCAGAATTTACGCGCGCTCCCGTGACACCCTGGGTCCCATATCGCACTATTGAGGGGTGGCGTGCGGGGTGAGCGAAAGTGTTAACCTCAGGTAGTCAGCATCAACATGATCACTTAATATTGCTCTAAAAATATAATTATTTTGTACCAATTAAAATGCTTCATAATGTTGATTTCTATACCATTAATATGTGTTTAACATGTATGGTTATAATGTATATTGATATTTTGACTAGTTACCCTAAAGATACATGTTATCCGCAGAGTGCAAATGTGACCTCAACCCAAGCAGTGAGACCCAAGGATCAACTTATGTATCTTGCACAGATTCTGGGGTTGCAGGTGCAGTTTACAGACTTCCCCAAGGTAAGTCTGGCATACAGTAAACTTTCTGATACCTTTACTGGTGCAAGTAAACTTCTCATAGCTTATAATAGTCTAGCATGATACAGGCTGTGGCATGTTCTCCTAATAAGCAAATTAACCATTGCTTACTTATTTAAATTATTCCTTTCCAAATTAAAACATCTTTATTTAGTTATATTACTTAATTCAATTGTATATATCATTTTGCATTTTCCTGGAGGGTGCCCCTTGGTGTGCCCTGAAGCTGTCTTCCTGAGATTCCATCATACTGTAAGGTCACATTAGTCATGGATAGTTCTGTTTTGTCTACTAGGGACCAGAGCCAGGACCTGACCCCACCCTCACAGAGGCATAGAGAGCAGGTGACAATCTACCATCTCATCAGAAAATCTCTGCAGAAAGTCAGTTTAATTTTACAGACAGCTAAAGGGTTCACAAGAAATAAAGCCTTGGAAATCACCAAACAACACCGCATTTGAATCACACTGAACAAGGGATTCACACGATCACGAAACTCGTTATTACTAATTACCAACACTAGGCAGCCAAGCCCATGCTTCCAGCTGGCTACTCTTACCTTGCGGTGATTTTGGGGTCAAGGTCCCTACGGCCCAATCTCTGACCAGGCTTCCTGGTTGATGGTCTGATCAAGCAAAGTCAAACAAGCAAAGCTAAAGGAATGAGTCAGCGTTGACTGTCCAGTCCGTAGAGATGGGACCAAACTGAGAAAGACTATCTGCCAGGATGTTGGACACCCCTGATATGTACAGCATGGATAGCCAAACCCCAAGAAGCCAGAAGATGAACTAGCCAGTACAGTATAGCTCCAAAGCGACAACCGTACTTAACAAGGCACAACCGCCAGGTGCGCCTCTCACGACACGTAATCAGAAGATGTCCTGGATGAAACCAATGAAAGTTTCTCCTCCAATTCGGAAGACCGAATAGTCGAGGTTGAACAGGAATCTAGCCAGGTTGATACCTCGAACACTGAAAGCAGTGTACCACGTTCACCAGAGCAACCCAGGGTTATTGCTCTGGGGAACGAGATCCCTCCCCCACACGCCAGCTAAAACCAATGCACAAACTCAAGTCAAACAAGTACCGGACCTGAAAATAAGAACTTACAAGTGCTTGCTTATATTGCAATAATGGGAGTAATTATAATGTAAATAAACATTAAACATTTTCCTGGGGGCAGCCCCGTCGGCTCCCCGGAGGTATCCAGGCTGATATTGCTAATATTAGACTTTGGCATTAGACTCCAAATCAACTTTGAGTACTTGTAGGTGGTACTACAAGTACTCACCTCCACACCTCAGTTCTTCGGCTGTTGGGATACGGCATGGTCGTGTGGCTCCAGGTCCGGATTCTTGTTGTGCTGTCCTCTGTTCAGTACTGCTCTTACGGTGGCGTGCGAGCTGGGAGTAATATTCACAGGTACTCGGGCTGCATGTGCTTAAGGTCACCTTCCCTGAGTGCCCTGTAAGTACTGCCCTTGGGGCTTGGGTTATCTTCAACAAGTCACCTTGGATCTACAGGCATACCTCAGAATACGAGTTTAATCCGTTCCTGGAGACGCCTCGCATTCCGAAAACTCGCATTCCGAAAACTCGCATTCCGAAGTTAATTTCCCCATAAGAAATAAAGGGAAATGAATTAATCCGTTCCTGACTACCCCAAAAACCCCACATCAAACTAAATTTTTATACCTAATTTACCTAATTCATCTAAATAAACCTATAAAACTATGTTCCAGTTATTACTTACCTTGCTGTCGAGTGCTGTAGGCGTATGGAAGATGGTGAGGAGGGGGGAGGAGGAGAGGAGTTACTGTTTGAAAGGGGAGTCCCCTTCCATAATCACATCACATAACCCCATGCCTTGTAACACTATGGATACCACTTCTCTTTCTAAATTTTTCAAACCAGCCCCTGCTTGCCTTAAACTCTTTCTTATCTGCATCACTCGTTGCAGGGGTATTCTTTAGAAGGCAACACCCTGGCTTTCTCACAAATAATGGCCTCCGAAACACTATCACCCCTCAACTCCTTGTCGTGTATCCAAATTAATAACAACTTTTCCACTTCTTCAAGTATTTGTGGTCTTTGTGCCGTTAATGTTCTTACTCCTTTTGCCACTTTAGCACCCATAATCTTATTTTTCTTCTTAAGTATAGTGCATATTGTTGATGTGGCTTTGTTGTACTGCCTACAAAGTTCAACAACACGTGTACCATTCTCATGCTTCCGAATGATCTCTTGTTTCTCCTCTATTGTCATCCTCACATAAGCTTTCTGGCCTTTATCCTTACCACTGGCTTTCTTGGGACCCATGGTGAGATGTATAATAACAAATTGTATAGACAAATCACCAAAAATCCAACAAAACACTGAAAATCTGCGAGAAGAATTGATGTGGGGGTAGTCACTGAGCGCGAGACAATGGTAAACTGAGGGGCGGCGGGGCAGAGGGGCGACGATCGCCGAACCACCACGCGCTAGGTCGGCCTGTACGCGTATCAACAAACTCGCGTCCCGAAGTAACCCTCGCCTTCCGAGACAAATTTTTGGAGTAAATACTGCTCGCCTTCCGAAAACCTCGCATACAGGGACAATCGCATTCCGAGGTACCACTGTACCTCTGTTGGTCTTTTGCTGGTTGGCATGTGATCACCCTGAGTGTTTTGGGAAAGTTAAAACCCTTGTTTGCCTTGAGGTAAGTGGTAGTTTTTGCATTGGTAGGGGTTCGGGGTACTGCGCAGCTAGTTTTCACCTATAACAGCGGCTGGCTCTGTTCCCTCTGGGTATGCTATCCTCTTGCGAGGTTTTTCTTTTCATTATGTCTGTGCCTGGTGGGGGTCTTCCGGTAACCCCCCTCTTCAGGGTTTTCACTACGGGGATTCGTAGTCCTGAGGTTCCGGGTTCGATCCCAAGTGGAGGCGGAAACAAATGGGCAGAGTTTCTTTCACCCTGATGTCCTTGTTCACCTAGCAGTAAATATGTACCTGGGAGTTAGACAGCTGTTATGGGCTGCTTCCCATTAGATAACCTCAAGAATCTCAAGATAACCCCTTCTGGGGTGGCGATGGAGGCATTCAAGTCCATTCCTCCTGCCTTAGCACCGGGGTCTGACCAGTGGGCCCACTCTCTTCCTGCTCTTTCGGCCGCCCTACCTTTTTCTTGTGAGGCCGGGGCTTTGGAGGATGACTCGCCCCCAGGGCCTGTTGTGGAGGTTCCCTGGGGTTGGGGAGGGGCTGACTTAGGGGGGCCTTGGGCTCCATTAGACCCCGCATGGGTTTTCCAACCCTTTCCAACCCCACTCCTCGTAAGTGAAAGCCCCTTTCGGTTACAAGGAGTGGGGTTTTCTTTTCCCTTCCTCTGTGGTTGCGTCGGCCCCTCCCCATGGTCGGTTCCGTGTCCCTTCGGGTCCGTCGGCTCCGTCCTTCTGTGGGTACTTTTATTCACCTTCCCACCCTTCTCTTCTAGGACCTGTGTTCTATGTCATGCCGCAATCATGTTCTGTTGAATCAGGTCCTGCATGACCATTGGTCACGGATGCTGTTGGGTCCATATGAGCCTCCGTGATTTTGTGCTTGATGGTCGAGGGTCTCTCACTTTCGGGTAGAGCTTCGATACTTAAACATTATTGGAACGTTAGTCACCTTCCGGTGAGACTTACCTCCAGTCCTTTCTAGGTCTCATTGGTCCTCTTCCATATTATTTATCATCTTTCGATACTTTTTATGATTATTTGATAATAATCGTTACATAACCCTTGTTGGCACTCTCCCCGAAAGTCATGTGGTGAAGCTCGGACCTCATGTGTCCTGCGCATGCGCCATGGGTGATCGTTTTGTTATGATCGGTGTGATCATGTTGGTGTTCTGCATCCTTTATCACGGGTGGTACGCCGCTTTCATTCATCTTCTCTCTCCAGTCTTACCCCCTGGATACTGGGAGAGTTCTGGATTTTATATATGGGGCACACACCTAGTTTGTTTCTCTGCATATAGGTGTAGGGTGGCTTGGAGTGGTGCCGCCTCCACCTGTACACTGCGCCTAATCCTGCACATGCATCTCTGGATATGCTCCACTGGCGATACTCCCAGAATGTTACACGGCTAAGCTGTGTCATGATATGATAGTGCCTATACTCTACAGGTGAGATTTACTATTCTCATGCTCGTGCTAGGTTGGGCTGTGTTCATCTTCAGTTCCCTGTTATTGAACAAGCCCAGTGTTCCGTTATGGGTCTGAGTTCTTTCATCTTCTCCTTGTCTGTCATTACCAGCTTGTGTATTGCAGTGTCTGCTGGTGGATGTAGCTTTCCAATCACCCGCTTCTGCCCATACAGTTCCTTTTCGTTGGGACAGGGGGAGCTAGGATTTTGGCCCTGGCTATGGCCTTTTCCTTGTGTTCCTTTTCAGGACAGTACATTTTTGTTTTAGTGCAGTACATGTCCTCCGGAGTTCTCCTCATTCCTTCCTCTGCGACATGTGCATCATTCTGCCCTGCTGGGGTTGGTGGAGTTGCTCCTGCGGGTTGCAGTGTTACTGTTTTTTGCTTCGCATTTTGGCATGTGGTGCTCGCTTCTTTGTTGGCCTCTGCCTGGGCCCGGGTTCTTAGATTTTCGTTGTCATTTTGTCCTTGCTGTTTGCGGAGTCTGCAGTTTGGCAGTTTCTGCAAGCGGCTTTTTCTTGTCCCTTTAGGGGTCCAGGGGTGGGGGGTGCCTCCCAGACAGGGCGTTTCTGCTCGCCTGGTTGGAAGAACCCTGGTTGGTTCTTTCCCTGGTTCTTGGTTCCTTGGCAGATATACCTTTTGGTTCCTTGACAGCCTTGGTACCGGCACTGCTTGCTCGGTGTCCGCACCCGGGGGGTTTCCCACGGCTCCGCCTCTTTTCAACGATCAGTCCGATCCGTGACGGGGCTGGTTTTGTCTTCCTCTCAGATCTTTCCTTCCCCTCGGGTCTTCAAGTCTGATGCTTTTAACTCGAGTCTC